GGACAGTACTCATGTGTTGCTACTTCCAGCTACTCTGAAATAAATTTTAATGAAAAGTGCTTTGAAAGTATCTGTTTCCTAAGTCTGCTTTGGTCACATATTGGCAATTTCCTTAATACCTTGAAGACAAATATTATGATTTAGGACAAATTGTGCTTCATGTGCATATGTTCATCGTACACATAACACACTGCAGAGACCTAGGCCCAGTGGTCCTCCTCCCTCATCATCAACACACTTCCTCTGCTCCTGAGAAGAGGGGAGGGCAGGGACGCAGTGCACAAATGTGACACAGTTTTCCATGCTGCCGCCACTTCAGGAGGATTCTCCAGAGGAGCCAAACTGTGGAAGTCAGCAGGGCTGCAGATGGGAGCACAAGGCTGGCTCCATCCCTAGTGTAGTGAAGAGTCCAAGCTTTGGGACAAGCCTGCCCCCTGCTGGTGAGTTAGGCCAGGTGGGAGAAGTTTTTGTGAGCAACGTTGTATTTTGTGCCTTAGTTTTCCAAATTACTATTTTGAAATGCTTTTTAACTGGGAGTGGTAATGATGCCTGTTGTCCCAACACTCAGGAGGCAGAGGCAGGAGGATTGCAGGGAGTTCAAAGTCAGGCTGAACTGCATAGCAACACACTGTCTCAAAAAAAAAAAAAAAAGAGATAGAAAGAGAAAGGGAGCGGGGGGAATTCTATTTCAGGATGACTAATAGTACTGTCACTTACATAAGTACCAACGATATAAACTGCTTTTTAAAATTACAGTAGAAAAAGAGCTTGGTGACACTTCCCTCCAATCCCAGCACTGTGGTAGGCTAAGGGTGGAGAGCACCAATTTCCCTTGGAAACGGAAGAACTCCACCAGTTCCTGTCTCCAAATAAAGATATAGCTGCATGTGGTAGCTCCTTCTTGTAATCTCAGCACCCTGTAGGCTGAGGCAGGATGATCAGTTTGAGCACATTCAGGCGTAAACAAGACCTTGTCTCCAAACAAAAAGAAATAGTTGAGCAGAAGCTCAGGATTTGAGCATTAAGGTTTTCCACTCCAAGTATTGAATAAAAAAGGAGGAGGGAGTGAAGGAGGGAGGAAGGCAGGAAGGAAGGAGGAAAGGAAGGAAGGAAGGAAGGAAGGAAGGAAGGAAGGAAGGAAGGAAGGAAGGAGGAAAGGAAGGAAGGAAGGAAGGAAGGAAG